AAGAGGGGGCTCCGCCGCCGTGCCGCCTTCCCCAGGCTGGGGCGGCGCGGAGCCGTGGCCCCGGGGGGACCGTGTTTGTCCGCTCTCCTCTCCCTGGCGTAAGGTGTTGAGGGGGAGGTCACTTCTTGCTGCTAGCAGTGCCGGGGGTGTTGGAAGTTGCGGTGGGGAGGCGTTTTCTCGCGTGTGTGACACTGCCGGAGCCAAGGGACGTCTGGAGGGAGAGACTGGGAAGAAAAAGTTACTTTCCTTAAGCGCCTACGAGATAAATCTGTGCTGAACCTTAGAGACTCCGCAGGGGAAGCGTTGGCTGTTGTATCTTAACAGGTTTCCCCTGTCTGCGCATTAACCCAAAAACCTGCTGTTTCTTAACAGCCGCGCTCGTATCTGTTTAGTAGCAGTAATGGCATTCAGTTGGAGGGAGAGACTGGGAAGAAAAAGTTACTTTCCTTAAGCGCCTACGAGATAAATCTGTGCTGAACCTTAGAGACTCCGCAGGGGAAGCGTTGGCTGTTGTATCTTAACAGGTTTCCCCTGTCTGCGCATTAACCCAAAAACCTGCTGTTTCTTAACAGCCGCGCTCGTATCTGTTTAGTAGCAGTAATGGCATTCAGTCTTTGCTCCGGTGTTTAAAAAAAAAAAAAAGAAGAAAACCAAAAAACCACCAAACCAAAACCCCCATCTGCCTCGGAATGTTGTAAGCCCAAAGTGATTTCTTAAAGATGTGTATGCGGTCTCTGAAATTGTGCTTTAAGGTGAAGTGGGGGGGAATCCCTTTTCCTCAGATACAAGAGTTTAAATGCAACAAAATGAACGAAGTCAGAGTAGAAGTTCTTGAAGTCCAAGCAATGCAGTGTGAGGTGCGGAGCAGAGCAGGGGCTCATATTTGGTTTTGCCCTTTCTTTTGACTCATTGGCATTCACGCCTGACTCCCAGGCATCCTCTGGTTGCTGTGAAATGTCCCCCTTGGCTCAATGCAGTTTGAATTTTTGACGGCATTATAAAGAGTCCAGCTGTCAGTTTTGCTGATCTTGATGGGAGATGGGTGCCGGTTTAATGAGTCAAAAGTATGAACCAAAGCATTTAAAAAAAAAAAAAAAAAAAAACCAAACAACAAACCCAACCTTCTTCTTTGCTTTTTGTGCTTGACTGACTGGATCTGTGTCTGATCTGGGCAACACCCTCGGACCCCCTAAGCTAATTCATGTAAATCATAGCTAGATCTGAACCGGCTCAGCGGTTAAAATAAACGAATGGGCAAGAAAGAAGGAAACAGATTACAGCAGTCCTGCATTTTTCCAGAAAATACAACGCTCTGCGTTTGGGAAGGGGAGACTGTTTCCCTCTTTCTTTAAAAAAAAATAACAACAATACCGAGTGCAGGCAATTCTCTTGCTCGGAGCCCTGAGGTGCCCCGCGGGGCCGTCCTGGTCTGCACCTCTCGGAGAAGTTCTCCGCTGTGTGCCATGCCACAATATCTGATTATTCTCCCCTCTCTAAATAGCCCCCTCCTGCCCCCGGTGACTTTGAAGGATCCGTGTTTTATCACTGGGGATGGCCGAGTGAGCACTTCTGAAACGATTCGCGTTAGGATTTCAAGCTAACAATGAAACTGTTCTCACTTTAGTGCACCTTTTTTGAGGATCTGTTAATCCAGTTGGCATGAAACCGGCTGCACATGTCTCTCGCTGGATGCCCCCCTCCCTCCGTCCCTCCGCAGCACCCCTCTCTCCTCGATACTCCCTAAAAATGAAGGGGAGGCTGTGCTCTGTGCAGCCCTGCTAGTCGTTACCCGGCTGCTAGCCCGCCCCTCCTGGGCAGAGCGCTACCCTGCCTGCCCGCCTTTCTCCTCCCGGGAGCCCCAGATGTGGCTCTCCCCTGAAATGGTGAGGAAATCCGTGCGAGGCGCGTCATTGACACGGCGGCCGCGGCTGTCGGCGGCGGGCGGCCCGGCCCGGCCCGGCCCGGCCGGTCTCCCCGAGGCAGCGCCGGTCCATCGCATCGCCTCCCCCGCGGCGGCCGCCCCGGCCCCCCGCCGCAGCCCCTCGCGTGGGGCGCTGCGGGGGACAGGGTGGCCGGGGACCTCCGTGGGG